GGTATTGTGGAGTGAAATGAAGGGAGGGGGCGTAAAGCTGAGTGAGCAAGATGCAGTCAATCCGGAGAGACTTAACTCAGTCAAGTGAGATGTACAGAGATGGAGAGAATCAGTGAGTGAGTGAGTGAGAGGGAGAGCTGAGAGACTCGGAGAGAGCAGTCGAGATGTCAGGTCAAGAAGAGGATGGACGCAGATAAGAGAATTCAGCAGTCAACAGAGATGAGAGATGAATTGAAAGAAGAGCAGATAAATTGGCCATCATCGAGTTCGGCAGAGGACAGGAAAGCTACAAGTATATAGTCCCAAATCCACCGCTCTACTACGTATGTCTCCTCCGGTTCCTCGTCCATCCGTCCACCATCCACCGTCCACCGTCCACCATCCACCATCCATCGCCCCCCCACCCCACTCTCATCTCAGACACACAGACAGACAGACAGACAGACAGACAGACAGACAGACAGACACACCACGCACCAATTCCCTCTCTCCCTCTCTACCCGGGCCTGTCTCTCCTAAGACAGTCTACTTAATTGCAGAGTGATATGTCTGTTTTGGGGGGGGGCGGGCAGAGACGGTTGATATGATATGACGGATGTCACTGGGACTCGTGGGTTCTGTTCTGTCTGGTACTGGGAGAATGAGTGGTTGAGGTTCCTCGAGAGGGGCAACCGCCTGCACTTTGCAGACAGGCCCTCCTCCCCCCCGTGCCATGGTCTGGACAATAATTGGAAGCTCGCTCGGAATAATTTGAGTCTTGGCAACAGAGCCGCAGCTTGACGTCTCCCAAATGTCTGAGTGTGAGAGGAGAGCCCGCCAACCAGGGAAAATGCCAACTTTTGGCAACGCCTTGCAGTCTCGCTTGCTGCTTGCTCTGCTGCCGTACTTCCCCAACTTCAAGGTGGATGCTAGCTACAGTATCCATAGTACCATACATCTCAGCTCTCTCATGGGATGAACGCCATCGAGAAAAAACCCCCTCTCATCACAAATATCCAGTTGCCCCTCAGCTGTGATAAAAGAGACTTTCCGCTCTAGGAAACAGAACATCTAGCTCTCTCCCATCTCCTGTGCGTTTTGATTTGTTTACTCGATATATCACCTGCCATCCCTCCCCCTTGTAAACTTCCTCACCTCATCTCTCTCATCCTTGCAATGCTCTTCGTAAATCTGCTATGGACTAGAGGTACCTACATAACCTTTGGCATATCTTGCTTTTCAAAAAAAAAGTGAAGGAATCCTCCCCGCCAATCATTCCCAAATACTCAAGAATTATTCGGCCTTTCATTACCCAATACCACCCCCATTCCGGCGTCTAGATCAACCACAGCCCCAAGCGCCATGTCTCACGATCCGCCGCATCGATTATCTTGAGTGTACGAAAACCTCTCGCACTAGCGCCTCAACCTATCGATACAACAGCCGACAACACACTATGCTTCCTTTTTATGATAAGTACGAGTACCTTTACCCCGCTACATGATGGTGTGGACCTCGAGTCCCCGATCCCTAGCAAACCCCGATTTTTACCCTTCTGGCTAGAAACGGCGCGTCCCCACCTCACCTCGGGAAACCCAAAAGGATGCGTCTTGCAGCTCCTCGCTAGACTGCTTGCATCCAAAGTGAAGAAAGCATGGGCGCCGGCATCGGCCCGTGGTGCGCGTTGACTGAGTCTCACTCGATTGTGGGGAATCTGACCTTTCAACCGAGGACTCGTCGTTGTTTCCTGCCTGTCTTTGTGTGGGCAAGTCCCCCGAGTGATCTGCGATGATGGGACCCGGGTATGTTCTTGATGCATTGGGACCCTGGACGTTGCCTAGGCCGTTGGACGCTCATAGCTCTTCCCGTCCTATGAATCATAAACTGGATTCTCCAGTTCCCCGGCGGGAGACGTACTCCACTTCCGTGGGAACTACATATATGTGCCATCGTTTAGAACAAGGCCTGAGTTACCTACTCACCAGGCAAATAATTACGCCAGATATACGAAATCATAATTCTTCCTATCAGAAACGCACTTGCCGCTGCTGATATCAATAATGCAAGCGCCGCCAGCAGAAACAGCGCGCCTGGTTGCGTATATTCCCGCCGTGCTCCTGCCTGGCGGATGTATGTTGTGTGTGTGCGTGCGCACGTGCGCGTGTTGCGCGATGAGTGCCAAAAACAGACTGAATATCCCACAAGAGGTCCGTTATCACATACCACATTTTATGCGTGACCGAAAGCATCGACAAAAAAAAAGCCCTTGGCGTAAGATTAGTATATCTGTCCGCGGGCCCCACGTTTCGACATTTTATTTATGTACGACGCAACTCGCTCGGGCACATAGATAGTGCAGCAGAGAATTGAAACAAAAAAATCCGGGTTTCTCCAGATGCAGCCAGCCGCCATTAAAAATGTCAATAATTCGGCTGAGGGTGTGGAGGAGAACACTTTGCTAGGCTCAATCTTTTCCTTCTGGGGTAGTTCATCTGGAAGTCGTTTACCTCCGTGATCTCTTTACTCCTGTGTAAATTGTACTGAACTCAAAGTCGATCGAGGTTCTTCATATACTATCTGCTGCATATGATCGGAATTCAAGAATCTAACTTGTCCGACGTGCGGTGCAGTTCGTGTAACGTTCTTGAGCTCGTGTATCGTCTTGAGTAGCAGGTTCAAGACAGCCCAAGAGTCATGTGAGGCCTCGTGCTCAAAACGACCCAGAAAAGAAAAAGATGATAAATCAACAATCAGCTACTTGTTTCATCGAGACTTGAGTGAGTTCTTGATTATACCTAGCGTCCCCGCCAACTTCAACCCCCACATGTGCCGAGATTGACAGTTTTATCCAAGAACGATAGTGCCGAATATACCATTGTCAATTCCACCCATGACTCTTCCACTGCCACACTCTTGCTTTTACAGCTCAGCCGTCCATCCATCAGGAGATGATATGAAAGAGAAAAGGGAACCAAAGGGCACGGTAGGTGCTGCTTATATATCCCGTATTATGAATTGAAGATGTGTCTTTATTTAAAGGCCAGATGAATTCAAGCATTGAGATTGGAGCCGGGGATGCATAAGGCTGAGGGAAGTAAAAGAAGGAGACGAAAGCAGTTCAGCAGAGCGGACTCTTTACGTAAGCTCAAGTAGATGTATACATGTATGTATGGACACGTACGTACAACTGATTTAATCCTTGAATTTCAAGGTCACATCCAGAGCCGCGCTAGCACTTCCAAAACTACGCTACCGGCTCAGCTCATCATTTTTGTGACGAGACACCGACAACTCGGGAATCCATCGGTGGAAGACCAATTGAAATCACCTAGAGCTCAAGGTCTGAAGATGTCGAGCACACCTACTCAAATTTTATGCTCCATTCCAGCTATGTGAGTATTATACCCTAATTATATATTGCCAAGACTTCTCTAATCTTCTCCCATACTTATTTGATCGACATGAAGCTCGTTGAGGCCGTGAAAACTACGGTCTATTGCACGTTCGACTCAAGGATACCAACAGCCAAGAGCCTGGGTACGAGACTACTTCAGCGTCCCCACAACACTATCATATCAAGATCAAGCACAACAAATCACTCGACATCCTATATTCCAATGATCCCGGCTCTTGGAACCTACATCCCCGTCGACGTCATTATCTCTCCCCAAAGCGCACAAAAGAGTATTACATATAAGCTAAGGAACTAAAGAACATATTTTGCATAATCCACATCCTGCACTAAGTGCCATCTCTCCGTTCTCCGCCTACACCCGCAGAATCAAGCGACGCCAGCCCTGTTTCCTCAGACGTGTTGTGCCAACCGATTACTGCAAGGCTAAAGGTCTCTGAGCCACAACCCACTTCGTGGGGGTACCTAACTCTTGTGCTATGGGCCCAATAAGGAGACCAATCTAGCCTTTGCTGAAAAGTAGAAGATGAATTCCATCTCAGCGCCTATGCCCAGACGCTCTGTTGGTGGGGTGTCGGCACAAGCTGTTGAGCGGCCTGAGCGTGAGAGATACAAGCCGGGAGACATTTTTAAAAGGGCAACGAGGAGTGGATAGCGATATCCATGTTCAACAAGACCTGACGCCCAAGCAAGTTCGACCCAACTCAGTGACATGGAGCCCGGATTTCTGCGGTGGGGGGGGAGAGGGGGGGGGGGGGGTCTTTTTCCCGTAAGTGCTCCTATAATGTTTACGAGAACTCACTCTCTCACACTATGCAAACCATTCTAATGTTAGAGCACGTGCCATCATGGTCTCCCTACTAATAGAGCTTATGTCAGCTGTCACTCTGCGAGGCCGAAAAAATAGAGAGCATTTCGGGAATGATGGCAGCTTGAACTATCATTTCCTTGAGCCACAAGCAGAAGGAGAGTGTAACTCAGCCCTATATCCTCACCGTCCCGAACGTTGACATCAGCCCCCACGATCGGGTGGGGCAGGCTAGAAAAGAAGCACTGTAGCTTATCGTCATGGAGTATCACTCGGCTGCCAAGGAATTATTATGTCATGCCAACACCAGCTTGTCCTCTGGAGACAGATTACTATGCACGTCTATCCATCAAACTATCTACCCTAGATCCCTCGCAAACTCGCTTTATTGAAACAAATACCACAAGCGGAAGCTTCTTGGTAGTGGTTAATACGAGTTTTAAGATCCCGAGCTCAACCTTGAGCCATTCTGGGCCGTGTCAAATAGCTGTCACCACCGAGTAACGTATGACTTCGCAAAAATACGCACAATACAGCAAATATATCTCTGGTTACCATTCTCAGCTGCAGGGCCATCCCCGCCAGACAGCATTGTGTGGCACACACGAATCAAGACCTTGACAAGATCGGATATAGAGGTGATAAATTTCAATTTAAATGCACCCTCCCGGATCTCTCATCTGTTTTACTCTCATATTCACCCCTCGGCCATTAGCACGACTGGTACTTCATAAATTCTCATATATTAATGTCGACTACCTAGCTAATCTACGGCGTCTATATAGAAACTTTCCCCGAGGCTTACACCAACGGATTCCTTCTCCTTCTACGACTCTTCCTGCGTGGGCCTAGCCCAGCAACCTTTTGCTTCCACGCTTCATCACGCTTGTCTATCGATTCTCTTTTCGAGTACTGTGGTCCTGCGACACTTGGTTTCCACTCATCGCCCTGCTGCTCCTCTACCAGCTGCCTCTTAGGGTTCCGTGGTCCCAGACCCGCAACCCTCTCCTTCCAGGCATTGTCGAGCTCATCTACCGGTTGTCTTTTTGAGTACTGCGGGCTCGCAACAGTTGGTTTCCACTCATCACTCAACTGCTCTTCGACGAGCTGTCGCTTTGGTTTCTTTGCTTTCTTTGGTTCCTTTGGTTCCAGGATTTCAGCTTTCTCCTTCCAGTGTTCATCGAGCTCCTCTAATAGATCCCTCTTCTCCTCATTCCGTGGTCCCAAACCCGCAACCTTCATCTTCCACGCCTCGTCGCGCCCCTTGACCACATTCCTCCTAAATCGACCTGTTGGCCACTTCCACTCGATACTATTCCTCACCTCCCTATCCAAATCCCTCAGATCGCCCCTCTTCCTCAACGCCCTCTCAATCCCCGCCATCCGATCATCAACCTCATCTCTTCTCCTCTTCCCAGTATTATTCTTTGCCGTCTGAAAATACAGCCCCGCCACAGGCTGCCCGATACCGCTATCCTTGATAAACTTCTCAACGCTAAATTCCTCCCTCTTTGTCTCCGTCACCGCGGGCTCAGCCCCATCCTTCTGCACATACAGCAGCACCACATAGCGATGGTCGTCATCCGAGTCTTTGGGCCCTGGTACTCCACCTTCGGCTTACTCTCAGAGATCAGTTGTCTGGCATCCGCGTCGGCTGCCCCGTCGCGGAGGGCATAATCCGTCCCCAGGAAGTGGAGATATGACTCGTCGCCATTCCCGCCGAGCGACGGTGTGTCCGGGTCAAGGAGGAGGATGGTGTACCGCGCGCCCGGGGAGAGGTTGGACTCGTCGCTGAGGCGGAATGTGGGCGGGGCGGAGGCCTCGCTGGTGAAGAGGTTACCGCCGGCGCTACCAGAGGTCAGGCGGATGTTGGTTGAGTAGGTGGCTTCGAGCTTGAGTGTGGCAGGCGTAAAGTTTGTAGACCAGGACGGTGGGATTTGTGCGCTGGCGTGGGTAAGTGAGAGGAGGGCCGTGAGGAGCACGGGGAACATCTGGTGCGTGTGGAGAAACATCGTAAGGTAAAAAATCTAGGTATTACGAATGGGTGTGTGCAGCGCGCCGCATGGAATGGATGGAAGGACTGGTTTAGTCTAATTTGCTTCGTTGAGGACCTGCCTGGATACCTAACCAGCTGGATTAACGGAGAAAGAAAGAAATATTTGCTACCCAGGCAACTCGGGACAGTAGCATCCACTGACGGTAAAAGGCCCGGGAGGCTGCTTAAGTATAACAAACTTGTGGGAGAACTACCTGAATACTAATACTAATACAATACTGACACTTATAGGTCAGACAACTTAATAAAGGACCTCGATATCCGAGTTTGGTCAGTGCTCGGTGAACGTTTCTGGGCCACCTCATAGCCTCTATCTGCCTCTGAGTATATATTGGACTCGTATGGGAGATACCAAGACCCGCTTTTTCCGTCCGAGAACTCTGCTGGCAGGCTCAGGATAACCAGTTGTCACTTCTCTATATATCAGAGGAAGAATTATATCTCAGCACATATGCTGAAAATCTATTTAGACGCCAATTCTCTCTACAATTACCGCAAAAACAAGATATCTAGATATCGAGCGGACTTTACTGTCCACTCGAATTTCATCTGGGATCATACTGCCAACAGGCACCAGTCCTACTCATAGAACTCCTCAGGACCCAACCACGACTCACAGCTTCACCGGCCGAAGCCGCAAGTCTGTAATGTCCTTCATCCACATTTTTCGTCGCAGGAAGTTCTCTCGGTGAGTCCGGTGGTTGTGGTTGTCGGCACAGCTACACATCCCGGTGAAGGTTGTAACCAAGCTATTTTTAACTACAAGGGTTAGGGTTGCTATCAGCGGCCTTGGCAACAGACCTTTTTGGGACGACCAAGTATCTAGATACAATACGAAAAAAGGGTATGAATTCGCTACGTTATTCCCCTTGATGCGCTAGTAATGCAGCAAGAATACGGCATTACTACGGGACTCTTTTTGTAATGCTGGTTTAATTCGGTGTTATTCACTAGTCATACAGCACTGGTTTCACCCCGTTTTTTTCGTACTGTACCTAGTGAGAAGCTTGTTTGTCGGGTCTTGTGGTATGGGAATGAGTATGCGCTCGACTTGCATGATTCCGAGTTCCGAGTTCCGGGGTCCACAGTAGAATACTCTTATGCGGCAGTTGGAGACTAGACTGTCCGGTGATAGTACTGCTAGACACGTGAACAAGACCTTGCGGAACTTTGATCCACCCCGCCAGACTGTATAGAGCGTCTTTAAAGCTTGTTTTATGTAGAGTTTATACAGAGAATAGTAGAATGGGAGTTTGAAGTAGCACTACGGTGCAGGGGCTTGCTTTGTAGCAAGTAAATCATAAAGCGGATACCGGATAGCATACTAGCCTTAAGCATTGGCCTTGCGATACTTATAATGGATCTACCTTCCTATCTTACTTATATACGACTACTGAGCCCCCAAATAACCATATTCTACACGCTGGTTATTTACCCATAATTACATCCCAGAACCACAGCTAGCTTTTATCATTCGTAAAGGCCCGGGGGCGGGGGACACACACGAACCACCAACGCCACGCCGAATAGTCCCGCCGTGGCTCCACCCCATCCGTCCACCCGCCACCCGAAAAGCAAGGCCTTCTCTTCCCATAACCATAACTACAAAAGAGAGAACAGCGGCCCCCCCTCCGTATCTCCCTCTTTCTAACTACACATGGAGCGTTAAGGGCCCTACGTACATACGACGTACGCGCGCCGGCCACGGATCGTAATACTCTACGACTACTCTAGCTAGGGGTCCTAGGGGCCATTTTCAATAGGTTATTCATACACTACTATCTTTATAGCGTAGCGACCACCCCCTTCTAATAACAATACTTGTATCTGTAGCCCGCAAAACGCCATGACCATGCCGGCCTCACAGGCAATTTCTCCCCCCCGGCCCCGCACTTCCACTCCAATCCTCAAAAGAGCCATACCTACACACCAACACCACCCCGCCACGTCCGAGCTCCTATCAACTGCGCCCCACCCCCACACCAACCACAACCACAACCACAACCCAGCATAGCCTACATAAAGCAAGATCAACACACTCACGTGACACCACCTCCATGACATTTCTTGTTATTTTGATCATTGACTCTCACCCCCCATACTACATATATTACAGGTTCTCTCCGTCGACCCTGCATGCACTACTCAGAGACGATTCTCAATGTAGGCAGTCTAGGTCCTCATCGGCGTGGCATGGTGGGATATAAGGGTAGTCTAGTTGGGTAGGCAGGTGGGATTATGCGGGACAGAATCATGAAATATCACTCACTCACCCCCCCCCCCCCCCAAAAACTCCATCATGGCCTCAAAACACAAACTGACACGGATCACCTATAAAAATTCAACCCACTCGACTCTCCATCACCACACACAAAAAAAAGCCACTTTTATTCAACTACCCTGTCCATCTACGGTTTCTTATAATACCCCACCCCCACAAACGGCATCCGCGCCACCCTCCCCACACGCACCTTCCCGCGCACCTTCACCCCCACCTCGGTCCCGCTCTTATGGAACCCGCTCTGAACATACCCCATCGCGATATTGAGCCCCAGTGTTGGCGAGGGACAGCCGGATGTTACTTTGCCTGTTTGTTCTCTTGTCAATGAGGGTAGAGAGGAAGGGGGGGGGGGATAAACCAATGACGGTGTCAGAGCCCTTCTCGAGAATCTCGGCGCCCTCGCGCGCGGGCGCGCCGTCGACGATGAGGCCGACGCGGCGGCGTGTGACTTGTTTCCAGTCGTTGTACTGGCGGGAGATTGTCTCGTGGCCGTTGAATGTTCTGTGGTGCGCACCACAATTAGCTCCATCCCCCAGTCACAAAACCAGCAACAGACGCGGGGGGGGGGTAGCTCCAAATGATACATACCCCTCCATAACCCTATTCCCCCCCACCAGCCACTTCAGCCCGGCCTCAATCGGCGTCGTCCCATCATCGATATCATGCCCATACAGACACATCCCCGCCTCGAGCCTAAGACTATCCCTCGCGCCCAGCCCCGCAAGCTGTACCCTCCCCCCGCTCTTTCCGGCGTCCAGCAGCGCCTGCGTGACCGCCTCCGTGTTGCGCGGCGAGATCGAGATCTCGAACCCGTCCTCGCCCGTGTACCCGCCGCGCGCGATATGCAGCTCCTCCACGTTGTCCGCGCCCAGCGGGACAGCGACGGTAGTCGCATACCCAAAGTACAGCGTGCTGAGGTCGAGCTTCCCGCGTGCGGGGGTGGAGTCGAGGTATTCCTGGAGGATATCCTTTGCGAGCGGGCCCTGCAGGGCGATGAGGCCTTGGTTGTGCAGGACGGTGTGGCGCACGGCGGCGCCGGTGCTGCTGTGGGTGGCGTTGAAGTGCGTGAGGTGGTGGGTGAAGTATGCTGTGTCTTTGGCCTTGCAGGCGGCGTTGGTAACGACGTAGAAGGAGGAGGGGTTCTCGAGGGTGATGATGAGGTCGTCGACGATGCCGCCGGTGACGGGGTGCAGGAGGACTGAGAGCGTGGATTGGTTGGGCTCGAGGAGGGTTAGGTCCGTGGGGGTGATGGTTTGGAGGAATTGCAGGGCGCCGGGACCTTCGAAGCTGTGAGCGGCGGCGGGGGGGTGGATGTTAGTTATGTGATTCAATTGCTTGTGATTCAATTGCTTGTGATTCAATTGCTGTGCTTCAATTCCTTCAACACCTTCAATCCCCCCCCCCAAAAAAAAAGTGACCCCAGAATACACTGGCCAGTACAGCACAGAGACAAAGACAAGGACAGACAGGGTCACAAACCGATGCTGCACCATATGCGAAACATCAAACAAGCCACACCTCTCCCTGACAAAGCGATGGCTGTCGCCCACGCCCATGCCCTCGTACAGCACGGGCATCGAGTATCCCGCAAACGGGACCATCTTGCCGCCGTTGCGCCGGTGCAGCGCATCCAGCGGTGTCTTGTTGAGCTCTGCGCCCTCCACCGCTGCAGCCGCCGCGAAGAACCGCTGCTGGGTCATTGCAGCAGCAGCAGCAGTAGGGAGCAGCTTGAGGCATTGGCGGGGGGAGGTGGATCGTGCGATGGTGCTAGTGCTGCTGCGGAGGGGGAGGAGGAGGCGCGGGAGGAGCATTGTGTGTGTGTGTGTGTGTGTGTGGGTGTGTGTGTGTGGGTGTGTGAGGATGTGTGTGTTTTTGCCTATGTGAGTGAGTGGGTGTGTGAATCGGTGGGTTGGGCTGGGATTTGTGGGTGCTGGATCGTGGGGTCGGGAGGGAAGGGAAGGGAAGGGAAGGGAAGGTGCGTCTGGAGGTTGTGGTGGTGGAGGGGGGAAGAGGGAGGGGGGGGGGGGGGGGCTTTCCCGGTGCTTGAGTGCTTGAGTGAGTGAGTGAGTGATGCTTGTGTGAGTGAGTGTGTGAGTGATGATGCTTGTGTGAGTGAGTAGTGTGTGTGTGGTTGCTTGGTTGCTTGCTATGACGAAAGTGCACAGTGCCCGATCGGGCTAGCCAGGTTTGGCGGGGTTTAGGTTTGGAGCCGAGGTCGGTGAGCCGGGTGATGAAGTGACACCCATACACAGATCATCACACACAGACACAACTTTATCCTAAGATCGCTCGATGGGAATGCTTACTCTACATGTAGCAAATATGTATCTGCCTACTTTACCTAGGTGCATCAGGAAGAATTGCGAACGTCGGCACGGCGCCGTTTAATTCACACTCGAGCTCCTTCTGCCCGGCCGGCGCGCGCGAGCCTGGTGGGGGAAATTGGAAAAAAATATATATATACGTCAGTAGTGTAGCACTTACAAAGTACTCATGTAGCTATGTAGCTGTGTGCATGCAACGCACTACTCTACACCCTGGTGATATATGGTACTGTATGTCGTGACCCCCCCCGATGTTTGTGGTGACATTGACTTGTCTTGTCACGCTGGACCTAGCTAGCTAGCTGTGGTGTGCGATGATCGTGAGCATGAGATGGAGAAGTACCTAGCTAGACCTGGTGAGTACGTATGGTATGCACTCGGGGACTCGCTATGTATGTACCTACAGTAGGCAAGTGCAGGCCGAGTCGGGACTCTCTCGAGTGCTAGATGCATCGTGACAGACAGTACTGGAGTGGAGATGACTCCCCGGGGCATACATTCGATCCACAGTCGAGTACTGGGTACTATATCCCATATACCATGTCCTATATGTAGATGTCGATACATGTATACTCTATGTAGATGTAGATGTCGATGTCGATGTATCCCGCCTGGAGGTGAATCGAAGGTGCTGTAATTAACTACGGGTCTGAATTGTCGCCAGAATATACTGCACCACCACCACCACCACCACCGCAGAGCAGAGCAGAGCAGAGAGCCCTCCAGGTTCGATTGCTAGCTAGCTGCGGTGTTTAAATTGGTGCGAAGCAAAGTAAAAAAAAAAAGTACGATGACTCCGAGTGCTGTGCTGAGCGCGTACGTACGTAAGTACGTGCACGAGCGACTGTACTGTACTGCACCTAGTTACGTGCGAGTGATATTGGAAACTCACAAAAAAAACGGTGCACCTCTTGGCGTTTGGAAACACCATACATGGAATGTCCTTGCAACGTTCAACGACTCGAGTGCGAGCATGACCCATTAACCGTTTCCGAAGCCGGGGAAAACACACAAACATCTCAATACAAGGATATCGATATCGCCCACAAGGATTCCATACTCTACTCTCCATGCGGCCCAACACAACGAAACAAAACAAGCACCCACCCCCACCCCCACCCCCACCCCTCCTCTCTCAAGACCTCACTCGACCCATCCACCACACACCACACTAACCCTAACCCTACATCCTGGATCCTCACAACTCCACTTCTCCCACAACCGTATGTATCTACATATAAAGCACCACACACCCACCAATCCCCGCAACTATAGCGCGAGAAGGCATAGGGGGGGTGTGTCAACTTCAGAGGAACGTTTTTTTTGATTCCACCGTTGGGCTAGGTGCTAGTACCATTATGTGAGTAGATCTCCCGATTTCTATAGATTGATTGGCTGCAAACGCCGAAGTTTACACACCTACATGTAGCTTCTCGAGCCATAGGTACATACCAAAAGAAAAGCCAATCCCCCAATCCCGATCCCAATCCCGCGCTAGTCTACATCTACATCTAGCTAGCGTGTAACGGCGTCGAGTGATACTTCATGACTGCACATCATTACTATTGTGAGCGTGGGGTCCTTGACCCTCTGGGGGTGGGGGTATATGAGATGGATAATATCATATTAATGGTAGCATATCGTGAACGAGCCGGTGCGGGCGGGCAAATGTGTTCCCCGATAGTAGCACACGAAGGGGCTATTCTCGAATATATCAAATCCTCTCTTTCAACCGGGGTGGTAGATATACCAGCTACCCGGGGGATAACGACATAGGTAGCTGGAAACTACTATATAGTAAAAGAGCGGTACGCAAACAATACCGCAAAGCACACCACGCACACGCACCGCACACCACAACTACACAGGTATAAGGGGAAAAAGGGAATAGCTCGGATGACAATTTTATCATAACGTTGTAGATACCATTTTCGCGTAAAAATTCTCTGCCCTATCTACGCCAGAACCAGTATAAAAGGAAAGTAAAAAAAAAACAGAGAAAAAAAAAGAAACAAAAAAAGGGGACAAAAAAATAGTATGACTCCCCCAATAGACCTTACGTACCAGTCCCAATAGAGAGAGAGAGGGTTAAAAAAAAAAAAGTGTTATATATGATCCCAAGGTAGGTCGAGAATAGGTGTGTTGAATACTTCGGACTCGACCTCGACCGTTATGCGCGCTTGTCTGTGGTGGGTTGGATGGGAATCAGGTAAAACAATGAGAACTATCAGAACAATAAGGACGACAAAAAGCAAACCGTTAAGAAATGAAAAAGAATCATTAACAAATTCCCCACACCCTCCAAATTCGATTTTGACAAAATGTTCCCCCTCCCCCCCCCACATGTACCTGAATGAATCATCCTCCATTGAAATTGATTTTTTCTTTTTTTTTTTTTTACCTCCCATCCATGCGTTCAATAAATGGGTGTAAGGTCAGAGGATTGTCGTGTAGATGGTGAGGAATCTAGCAGGTACCGCCGATCTGTTCCTGATGGACTTCGAGGGTATCACCATCCTGCATATCGAGCTACATATTGATAAAGGCTTGTTAGCATGAAACATTCTAAATAAATGGAAACAGAAACATTGCAGTATTCGGCAGCCTAGTGACTGCATAAAAATAAAAACAGCTGGCTTCTGATAAAGGCATCCACAACTGGACAGTTATAATAGAAAGCTTTATGCAATTGCCCTTATCGGGACAAGAGCAAAGGCCTCGAAAACATATTCTGTAAGGCAGTCCAATTGTGAATGCCCCCGAAGCTCCGAGTAGGCTGAGCTAAACTTGGTGCGCTTTTCGGACAAGCTCGCTGGACGGAAGATAAGAAGTAACAAGCAAATAATAGGAAGCGAAGAGGATGACAGGATAGATCGGCGGTTCAGCGTGCCAGGGATAGTCAAGAACGCGTGCCAAACTCTAATCGCCACTGCTAAACGAGTGGAGAGCTAGATGATAGGCAAACCATACATCATGGCACCCCCACCAACAATCTTCCGCATGTGGAAAAATAAAAGAATGCAGGCATGAGAGAGAAACGCGTGTAAAAAAAGACTGAATGCTAGACAGAATCTAGTCATGTAGGGAATACTCACAGTATGCGGACTATCGTTGCCCTGGACCCTGGTCCCGTCAAACAAAAATCTGACGCTGGTCGGGGACTTTCCCTGACGGTCACAGAACGCGTCCATCAGCTTCTTCAGCTGGGTCGTGCGCTTGATCTTGAAGAAGACTTCATTGTTTCCGTCTGTGACCTTGATATTAAGGTGCTCGTTGGCGGCCTCCTCGGGCTTGGGAGGAGGGATCGATGAGTCGTTGGCACCGGGTTCTGTGCTCATTTTGAAATGTTTGTCTAGACACTAAAATGTGTTCTGTTGAGAGTGGATGGGGGGTGATAATGAGGAGGAAAACAGGGGTGGGGTGTGTATCGGTTGTGTTGATGTGGAGGAAGGAGAGGGGGCGGTGGTGGTGGTGGAGTTGTAGGTGGTAGTTGGTAAAGTGGAGGATGTTTCTGGGGTTGAAGGGGGCCGTTCTGGAGAGTTCTCACTAACGCAGTAGGAGGGGTTTGGTGTGGCTTGGCGCCAGGTGAGGCTGATTGTGAGATGCGGGCCTGCAACATCACATCTCAAAATGAAGGACCCACGATTCATAGCTTCATGTAGCTACTTCATCCACCTAGAGTACCTGTATGTAACCCCCTGAAAAATCAGTCCTTGCCTCAGTTTTAAAGCCTCACCATTCAGTAACTCTGGATAAATACCGAAATCGTGATGTTTGAGCATGAGTCTAGCTTTGTAGGTACTGTATGTAGAAGTACCGGCGGAACTCCACAATTGATTAGGCTGGCCATCATATGGGGTCAACGACCCTTTGGTCACCATGTTCCCTCAATGAAATGAAAATGACTTCATTGATCTGCCTACTTGTTTGAATTGAACCCTGAGTGTGCTTACATGTACCGTACCTACCTGCTTCCTTGCTTGCCCGTGCCCTGTCATGCAACACCTCGAGTTGTGACCGCTGCCAGTGTGCCCTTTCCTATAAACTCGATGGAATGACATGACAGCTGAGACGGGAGCTAGATCTCATCGACATTCGGCGAATTTGACCCGATCTTCTTTTTAATTTACCCTCACTCCGCGGCCGACATGGTACGTCAATTACCCATTCCTCCTTGTGGTTCTCCGGGGCGATAAGTTTCACAATGCCATTATATATGGCTGACATGAAACTGCCGTTTTTTTTTTTACCTCACTCACAGCCAAAGACACTTGACGAAGCTCTACGAGCGGACCCGCCTTGCTATCCTCGTGCAGTGGGTCATCCCAGTTTCCTTTTCCTCCTGGCCTCTACACATGCGTACACGAGGGCTTTGTTAACGAATCCAAACCTTGTCCTCCCATTCCAGTGCGCGATCCAATCCTGTCTTCAGAAAAGCAACCACGACGAATCCAGGTGTGCGCACTTGATCGACGCGTTGTACGAATGCTGTGCAGAGCTGTACAAACGGGAAGGCCCGGGTGCGAAATCAACGTGCTGTCCGAAAGAGAGCCTCCTCAAGTTGAAGTTAAAGCAAAAGCAAGATGCCGGTGGCTTCGGGGGTGCTGCTGAGCTTCATGAAACTCGACGAAGATAATTAATCGTCAATGCACGCTGTAAAGCTGCCTAATAAAAGTGGGGGTTTGAGTTGTTGTGAGAATAGGGCTACATATGGTGTACCATTGTAACCGTAGACGTGGAGATTTGGAGAGACGTTTAGACCCTTCTTCTGTTTTTAGAGAGCATGCAGTACACATGAAGCTTCGATCAAAATGCAGCGTGGGGAACTGGGGAAGGTTTCAGCAGCCGAAACAGGAGTTCCATCTGATCTTCTAGGAGTGTTTTACTACTCCGTTATTCACTATGTGCACTGCCTTACTACCTACCCCTCCTTCCTTTGCTACCCCCCGCTACACCTTGCTTGCCCCTCCTGCAGCCACGTCGACAGAGAGAACCTCTCCATCGGCATCAGGACTGATGGCAATGGTATGTATCCAAAGGACGAGCTGACGGGCACACCCTTTACTTTCTACATTGGTATCATTATTCGCATTCATCTAGACTTACATGTACTGTATGCATATTGATCTAGAATGCTGGCATTGGCCCTGGATTTCATATTGACTTCACAAAAAAATTCTGTGACTTTATTTTTTTTATTTTTTTGAGTTGGAATAATATTAAACTATTTACAAAAAAAATTCAAACTATTTACAAAGCTGATTGTACCGCCCCCAAAGCTACGAATGCCCACACAACCCCGGAGGAATCAGGCTCGCTATGATGGTGACGATGAGATCGGTATAAGGACACGTTGAGCACGCAAGGAGACCGCATGGGCCTGATCAAAAACTGAACAGTTCTGATCCGAGACTCTAATTAGTGCCTAAAGACATTGATTTTTGAAAGAGGTACGCAGGGAAAACGTGAATTTATGCAGCCAAATGCCAAGGCTATCCCAAGAGAAGTTTTACCGACAATGTGATTGTGGGAATTTACTGGTTGCATGCTGTGGCGTTTTGCATTCGATTGAGTTCAAGATGTGGCGATGGGATAACGCTTTGATGTGGGTGGCTAGGGAATGTCTCAATTGGGTAAATGATTGTCATTGGACTTTCGCGAGAAGTTCCTAAACGCGACTTCCCCAAAGAAAGCGACATCACCTCAACCACTACCTCCACTACCTACAAACCACTCCCCCCCCCCTTCCTCCTCCCCCTTCCCCGAAATAGCGCAGATGGCTCCCATGTTTACGAATCCCGATTCTTCGAACACCAGGCTCCCTCTCCAGAAACCAGCGTTTTCCTTCAGTACAAATTCTCGTGCGAGTAACCTTTTACCAGCGGCACCGGGTATGCAGCAACAGGTACGTCTTGATTTCTCCCGTCGTGTCGAATCGAGATTGGTCGCTCCTCCCCCCTCCTTCCACATCCAACCCGAGCTTTTGTGCAAACGTTCTGGATGAGGAAGGGATTGCACGCGTGAGACGATGGCCAGCTTCGATGGCTGATGATGGTGATAGGAGCAGCAAATGGATGGATCCTGGGATATGGGCGATGATGTACGTATCATGACTCGCTCTTTCCTGATCTCTGATCTTTGACGTTAGGATTGATGCTTGATGCCCCGCCCCCTCACCCTCCCCACATACACGCGCACGTACAAGCACACACAGCAGGCGTGCCATCGGGATTTTGCTTTGTCCACTGCGCTCGCCAGTCCCCCGCGTTTTACCGTGGAGCTTCTAGAATCATATTCTAACTGGTTAATCTGTTCTTCTGCAGGTAAGCGATGCGACCCACAACGACAACAATGACTCCAGGGTTTACGAACAAGATGGTATGCCCGCCCTCCACGCTCTCCCTTATTACACTCACATCTACTATACCCTCAAACGGTGGCTGTTTACTGACACATCCATGGCAGACATGATGACCTTCGATTCAGCGCACCCTGGGAATTCCAACACACATCCCGAAATTGACGCATTTGCTGTCCGTTTAGACTCCTCTAGACTCCTCCAACCCGATGATGACCCGAACTCCGTTGAGGCGGCGCTTTCCGGCTTCGATCTCATCGACCGTTTTCAGGAAGTTTCCACCGCTCGTCTCGAGGAAATTAGGAAGTACATCTCCGAAGACTCCCCAGTTGAAGATCAAGAAGAATTGGCACAGTGGCAGCTGGAGCATCAGACGTGGGAGCTATTTGGGACTCTTTCATCACATAGAAATGACGGCGATGTAAAACCACAGGAAATGCCGAAGGATTTGGCGTATACCAGTAATGTGAGATTCAAGGAATTTCTTCTAGAAACAGACGGCAAATTCAGGGAATGGTCTTTGATTCTACAATGGTTACAGAAATATGCTCCAAGCCCAACGGATGAGCTCGAAGAGGAGCCTTCTAGGTACGGGAGCGGATGGATGTACACCAAAGAGTCGCTAAAGTCGCAAAAACGGATGGGTGGGAAGCGATTGCCCAGCTTAACTGCGGGATCGAATCTCTTCTTTGCAGACAAGATGGAGAAAAAGAATTTAATTACTGAACTAGACCCAGATGCGCCAAGTAGGCAGCAGAAACAACTTGAAGCCGAAGATGAAGAAGCGGAGAGAAACTTCATGAGGCTCATTTGGAAGTTTATCAGAAAGGGGGATGTTCAAGGCGCGCATCTAGCGTGTGTGGACTTTGGGGAACTGTGGAGAGCTGCAAGCTTAAGCGGCGGCGAGGAAGCTTGGGACCCTTCAATTGACGGACCAAGATTTGACATCGATGATGATGAGAATGATTTGAGAGTTAAGGGTAACAGACGAAGGGAGTTGTGGAGGAGAATGTGCTATGCAATTGCTCGCAAGCCGGGAGGTGATATTTGGGAAAAAGCGGTTTATGGAGCGTTGTGTGGTGATGTGGTCAGCGTAAGTCGTGCTCCTTAATTTGTGTCTTAGTTCAAGCGTCATAAACTAAACCAATCCTGCAGGTCCAAGATGTCAGTGCAACCTGGGAAGACAACCTTTATGCACACATCAATTCACTTGTGGAAGAGTACTATTCTAAATACCTTGCCTCATTTGGTCGTGTTCCAGCCTCGGCAGAAAATTTTCCAATCTTTAATTCCACAGTGTTTCACTCTAAGAGCTCATCGCTCTCAGACGATAGTACTATTCTCCCAAGAATTATTGATTCGCTCGCCGCAGCAGAGGTTCTACAGCCCGAATCGGGCCAAGCTCTTCGCATCATCCAAGGAGCCCTCATCTCTGACCGTATCGAGGATCTTGTTGGGGAACTGCACAGACAAATTAAGCTCTTAAAGGAAGACCGAAAGGCCAACATCAGCGATGGCATCTATAGGATCGAAGTTACAAATTCGCAGACTTTAAGAGTTGTTGTGCATATCATACTCGTTTTACAATATTTAAAATCAGCATTTACTGATGACTCGCCCCAACTCGAACAAGCGGAGTCCCTTATCGCTGCGTACATTGAGTTCCTCTTCTCAGAAGGCAAGACTAAACTTATCCCATTGTATGCTGGACGTCTCACGTCAGATAAGGCGATCGAGGTGATGGGTGGTATCCTCATGAACGTGAAGGATGAGACCAGACTCGAGTTACTAAAGTTGATGAGGATGTACAACATTGATGTGGAGGGTTGTCTGAAAAAGACAATGGACCTTTGTCTGGAAGTAACAGAGGAGAGGCATACCAAAAATAGCAGATGCATGATCAGGCTGGAAGGACTGAAGGGTGATACCGGATTGCACAATCCCATTGAAGAAGAGGACGAGCTGCTTATCAGAGGATTGGAGTGGCTCATGCTGGGTGGGGACGCGCTCAAGAGCGAGGTAGTCAAAAAGGGCGTAGTGGTGTACAAGAGATTCTTTGGTAAGTTTTGTTGATTATCGATTACAGCTCTACGGATAAACTTACTGATTCTTGGCAGTGACTGGTCGCCTTTCTGCCGCGAAGGTGGTCTATGATAAGATAAACAGCGAATCGATCATTAACTCACCCGAGTACACCGGTCATACTACTACCCTCGCTCTTGAATTCAAAAGAATCTTCAAAGAAAAAGAAGACCGCTGGGCGCTCGATGTTTACAATGAATTTGAGATTTTTATGCGAGCTCTCCTCGCCCTGGAATCCTGGAACGAAAGGTTGAGCAAAAGACCTGAGTATATACACCTCCCCCGAAACACTTTCTTACATGGGTCATAATTTTAATCATATGCGCGTATACAGGCGTTCCGACCGTGCCTGGAGGGCCATTCTCGATGAAACATTCAAGAATGTGCATACTAAAGTCCCGGGAGTGATCAAGACATGGCTCGACACCGCTATTGAAGAAGCGCCACGAAGCCTTGATACCGCGTTTCTTATAAGTATCCGTAATATATACATCCCCGAACTTACCTTTGCCATGCACGATGTTTATGTGGAGGCCGGTAAATGGCTCAGTAAGCAATTGTTGGCGAACTGCCTCGAACTTGCGACAATTGTTGCAGATCCCGACAGAAGTGTGTTGGCGTGCTTTCAAGAGAATGGAAGGCTCGAAGAATATGTGGGCGCTCTGGCGGACGCTAGTAGAAGTGTGCTTGGAACGGGAGCTACAAAGGGTTCTCTCACAATATGGAGGGTTCGGTAGATGCTAGAAAGGGACAGCGGGGTGATGATCTTTGAATAATTTGTACGGTTTTATTCGGTGTAAAATAGTCACTTTTTTTTCTCTTTTTTCTCTTCCTTTCCTTTGGGAGTTCCTACAGTTGAGAGTAGTTATATGTTGTCGTCAAGCCACGTTTTTAGTTGTTTCGTTTTATTCCTTTTTTGACCCGTTTTATGATTTTTCGAGATATTCGATTCTCCACAGATAAGGCGGAGCGGGCTCGAGAGAGGAGGGGGTGTGTGATAGAGCGGGGATTGTTGCGCATATGTGGGGATGTGGAATTGAGAGGGGGGTAGGAGGGTGGAGGGGAGGAGGAGAGAGGAGGGGGGGGGGGGGTGATATCACAATAATCCGGTGAAAGAGTGTAGTTTAAGGCGCGAAAGCCGGGTGCTCAAAATTCTCAAGCACACATTTATTTTTCTCTTCTCGATGGTCTGTTACCTGCTACATACACTACATAACTCCGTAAACCGATGCATGTAACATCATGTCAGTTCCCTCAACTACCGTACATATATGCACATCATACTCTGCTACCTACTCTAGCTCCGTGACCCGCGTGCTGTGAATCTCCAGACAGCTACATCAATAAATATGCTGCGATATCTGATGCCTCCTGCTTCAACGCTGCGTTAGCGCTTGGTGTTTGCGTTGTTGTCAGTTCAACAAATAATTCCTGTCATGCACGCTACTGCTTCGGTGCATGCTTCCATGCTCTGTGACGTAAGCCAATCGCTCTCCCTTGTACGCCCTTGCACTCTTGCTACTCCAGTAGGGAAAGTGAGTACTACTATTACCTACTACCGTACTACCTTCTACTAGGAACTAGGTAGTAGAAGAGTAGGTGCTACTATTAACTATCCGAGAACCGACAATCACGGGAGAGTGACCTGCCAGCCACTACCACCCCATGCGGGGGATCAGAGTTAAGTGGGGAATCACAATTAATTATTTAGTAACGACACCACCACAACCACCGCGGACAAGCAGGGCAAGCAGACCAGCAAGTTGTCCCTGCATGATGGATGATAATCGGGGGCTTACACTTTCTGCTGCCACTGTTTCATGTTGATTCTCTTTTTGCTTTGCGAGAGGTACAGTGCCGCTGTGACTTGACGGACTTGACTCTTGACTTGACCTGGAGAGCGAGAGTTGAGAGCGTGAGTGAGGGATGGTGTGGTGTGAGTGTGAGTGTGAGTGTGAATGTGAGTGTGTGAGTGGTGAGTGTTCCTTTTTTTAGACGCTGGACCATACCGGTCGGTCTGGTCTGGCTAGCTGTTTGGTTGTCTGGCTGGTCTGGCCTGGCCTCGCCGTTGGGGCGGTGCCGCCTCATCATGGTGATCCTGCTTGTTTGGTTTGTTTGAATTTTGTTTGGAGGGGGTGGTGTGGTGAGCTGGGCGCTGTGGGTGTGGGGGGTACAGGGTGGGAAGGGAAAGTGAGGTGAGGTAAGGGTAAGCTTGCTAATGTAAGGAGGGAACATAAGTGCAATGTGTGGGGAAAGCCCTACTCTACTCTGACGTTCTAGATGACCTAAGGGCCGAACGAGGGAAGGGAAGGAGCGGAAGGGAGGGAAGGGAATACGTGCTGTGCCTGCTAGCTAGCTGTCCAGAGTAACATGTTTTGGATGCCTTCTCGCTTGTGGCTGGCCATCCACGAGGGAGTGTTCATTTTATAGAAACCTTGCAATTTGTATTTTTGTTTCACACTCCTCCAGATCCTCCTCTCCTCCCCCCACTATCGACTTCAATAAACAAGGCATCGTATCGTATCGTATTGTATCAATATGCCCTTGATCAACCTAGGCCATACAAAGGGACTAGACGACGGATACGATAACACCGTCCCGGCAGGCACTCTCGGCGCTCCCCATGCATCGAAGGATTCAGGGCTCGAGATTCGATCGATAATATCATGGAAGATGAGCTAGGGCTATTTTTTGTTTTGGATGCCTACCTTAGTACCTTACCTTACCTCACTCATATGTACCCCAGACTTTTTTCGTTCATTTAATCTCCCGCCGTGGCCCTATTAGACGTTGCAATCGTGCAGCCGCCCGCCCCCGTTCATCGGTTCTTTTGTGTCAGTCGGGTCGAGAGGTCGAGAGGTCGAGAGAGAGACCAGTGTTTGTTGTATGTAATTTGGCGGCTGTTGCTGCCCTGGTTTTTTGCTTTTTGTTCTGGCCCTGACGATCATAATCATGATCATGATGATATGGTCGAGTCTACAATACGCCTAAGTACACACCACACACAAAAAACCGCTGTGGGGTCTAGCTTCGTTCTTTTTTGTTTGTTTACCGCCGATGGATCAATTGAGGAGAGGGGTGCGATCTAGGCTTGTTTGTTTGACCCTGATCATGACTTACTCTCTGGCAGCTGGTCGCGGGAAAGTCACGTGCCGGGTGATCAGTCATTATTGTAGTTTTAATTCCTGGTTATGAGGAGTACGGTTGGTTATATGTGGCCGACGATCTTGCACCGTTCTGGGGAGGGCAAGTGCTGTTGGTGGTAGTTCTAGATACGGGACCTGAAATTGATACCACGAGAATCGTCGAGGGGAGATTGCAAAACGCAGGTCAACGATTTTGACTTTTTGAGTGGAGTGGGAGAAGGTGGGAGACCGGGGAGCTGCTTGGCCAGTGGTCAATTCGATTTTTCTGGTTTTTACGGTTTATGGTTAAGGTTTTCTTTCCTTCTGCACTGTCAGCCCCATCGTGTCCATACCCCAGGTTTTGATGAGAAATAGAGTTATCTCAATAGTATCTCTAGCTCTACTCTATTGCCTTCTACTCTCGTCCACTCTACGCTGTTTCCATCCTTTACTGCATATTTTTCATCAATTCGAATCCCGCCTGATCGGGCAAAAAACAATTCCTGTATAAACATCCCAATTGTGACATCCGCTGCCCTGATCCCCTAAGCCCTAGCTCAGGCGGCCAGCTTACCCGGTTCTCTTCCACTGTTCTGCTCTTCTCACATCTCGAATCCATGTTTTCCGTATTTTCTTTTTCCTGCCAATTGCGGGGGCAAGCAATCAGATCTTGGGCTGACAGCTGGCCATGGGGCATTGAAACAGGAATAATCCGTGGAGTAATAGGGTGAAAAATAAAAAAGGAAACAAACGGCGATGAGATTTAATTACGCGCATCTGGCGGCGGACGGCCGGCCAGATCGAAGCAGCAAGGGGTCGGGAGGCCGAGGGATGGATGGATGAGGGGTAAAAAAAAAACATTGGAGTAATTGAAGGAAATAACAAAATAAGCAATTGGCCCAGCCTGCAAGCTAGAAATGGTTTATTTCTGATCAGACTGGCCGTGGACATGGGCTGATCTAACTCAGCAAAAGGCCAAGGGCGGGGAAGCTGGGAGACGAGAATTAGAGAGAAAAAATAAAAAAAAGACAAACGAGAAAAACGAGAGGGTTTTCCCTTCCCCAGGAAAAAAGAATATGGGGAATTGGGGGAAATTGTTGTTTAGGTTTGTTAGGATTTCATGTAGGGACTGATTCCGCCCCACGTGCATGCATAATCAACGAGTTTTGGTTCAGTGCTAGTAGAGTAGTTGCATAAGTCAAGTAGCAACATGAGTGGAGTTCGAGTCAGAAAAAGCTGAGTTGTGAAATTTAAAGAATGTAGTTTGTTACAGGTACTATGTAGCTAGGTAGTAGAGTGAGTTAGGGAGTACCTGCAAAATATGACTCGATAAATGACTGCAGTACTGTCGTGTGTGAGTCTTAGACTATCACTCTACTACTCTCAGTCACAACTCACTTAACTCTAGTGCGAAGTCATTGATGTCGGTAAATGCATCTCACATTGTACTTTTCACATTTAGTAGCAATCAAGCAATCCAGCAAGCAGGTACGACCCGTACCGCCCCGTTACCTTCCGCACGCACGCAATGCAGATGAGATGCGAGATATGAGTGCGGGCAATCACGAAAATCCTCTAAAGGAGGGGGGAAAGCACCATTACTTCAACATCACCGCTATCAGAATTTCAGAGTGCGTCATTATGCTGCCATCAATTTCACTCTCCACCAAATCACTCCACTGCGTTCCCTCCATTTCAGCTGTGCCGGGGGAAAGCGGTGGGGAAAAGGGCAACAACAAAAAAAAACCGAAAATCTGGTTTTTAGTCCCTAGCTTATTTCCTCTTGACCTGAATCCCGATCCCGGTCCCGACCAGTAGTTGTTGTAGTTTTCAAATACAGGGCCCGTATGGGTCAGCTATTATCACTCACCTCACTCACCACTCAATCACTCAGGATACCACAACAACCACCGGCACCACCTCCACTGCCCAGCCTGTCATGTCAATAATAGCAAAGGGGCAGTGGTGGTTCGTCTAGTCTAGTCTAGAAGCTAGCAAAGTAAGCTCTAGAGCACAGTCCATAGAGGGGCACTTGCTTGCTAGTCTCCTCTAGCTCTCTGTAATTACGAAGGGTTTTAGTTAGGAGTCTGTTTAATTCCATCCGATCTCCAACCCGTGTTTGGCCTGTTTGCTCTACTTGTGTAACCCTCGAAATCAAACAGAAAATCCCAAGAAAAAGGAAAATGTGAGACGGAAGTGGCCAGATTGGATTGGAGATTGGGAAACGGCGGGCATGCAGTAAGGCTCGAGCTCTCTGAACCGGGGAAAAAACCTCGAATTGGGAGAACGAGGGGTGATTGGTTGATGGTGGGTTGGTCAGTTTCTGATGCACTATGATGTGATGATGGAGTATTACTCGACTTGTGTTTAGTGATTATGATAGGGCTGTCTGTATGTACGTCTCCCTCGGCTCGATGAGGAAGAAGCATGTACGTGGATTTAGTTGTTTGTTTTCTGAATGGGCTGTGATAAGGTTGGGTCGGGCTGGGGAACTAGGCTGAATGATTGATTGATTGATAGATGGCCTGCCTGCTTTCCTGCGTGCTCGCCTTCCTGCCTGTATCTTTCCATGGATGAATGTGATGGACGGAGGGATGAGAGCTCGTGGTGGT